AGGCTGCGCGAGTGTTACATGAACACGCCAGTATAAAGACTCAACTTTCAAAAAGAAGCCCCGAGAAGGAGGCAATTGAAAGGTTTGTCACGGGATGAAAGGTGTCATTAAGCAACTGTTTTGTCCACCTGAATTTAAGAAACACAGCATTAACTACACTAAAAAAATAAGCCAATGAGGGAATTTCACTTACAACTGATAATGACTCAGCTTTCGGCCGGGCTAGCGGAGTTTTCTCTGAAGTTTGGACTTTAAGAGCATGCTCCAAAAGCAAGAGTAAATTTTCCAAAGATAAGCATGTTTGATAAGCCTAAAAAATGTCGTTAGTCATTGAACAATATCTCTAAGAGGGTGCTTCTTCTTGGTTACATCAGAAGATAGGCATCGCGTGAAGCCGAGTTAGAACAAGTAAGAATCAAACTACCAAGAAGAGGAATGCTTGTACAGCTAAAGCTCAACAGCGGCGAAGGTTTCTCTACAAAAAGGCAAACTGAATCCCTAGTTGTCCTAAGAATGTGCAATTATATAAGTCTTAGCCATAACTCTACAACGAATCTAGCAAAAAACTAAAAACTAATGAAACAAGCTCTTCAAACTGCGCTTACCAGATCTCAGAAATAAAGGTATTATTAATTACATGCAAATTATCAAAACAAGTTTTATTTCTTTATGAACCGTGAAACTGTGAATATGTAAGCAAACAGACTTGTCCGAAAACACTGCAATTGAGCAGATGTGTCACTTAACATTGTGCATTTATTTTATTTCTTGTAAGTTCAGTCCAATAAATTAGCTTATGCGAACTCAGTCGAGAATTGATCTAGGCATGAGGGAGAACAATGACCTAAACGGTCGCTCAATAACTAGTTTAGAGAATACGCAAATAACTAAAGCAAATTCATGTAGGTGATCTTACAAGATCTTAGAATTAAAAGAATTGTCAAGTAAATGTAAATTTTTAAATTTAACTTGTCTTTATTATGAACCGCGAAGCTGTGAATATATAAGTACAGAAATTTATACGAAAATTCACTGTAATTCACTGCGAAAGAAGCACAGAACATTGTGCATTTCTTTTATGCACAGTAAGTTCAGTCTAATAAGTGCGACAATGTAGTCTACGCCAAAAAGCACAAGTACAGGTTCGGGACTTAGGAATCTCGGGACGACGTAACAATTCTGTGTGCTCTCCGATAGTTCCGCGGGTGATAGATGCGAAAATGGTCTGCAACGTAATCTTTCCAGCAAGTTAGGGCTCGATTGAAATTTTTTAGCGGCTAGAGAGAAGACTGTCGTGTGGATTGCGGTGGCTCTGTTTTCTGCCAAACAGTAGCAATGACATAGTGGCAACGTTTTTTTTCCTTATCGAATTGTAGGCGTCCAATTAGAGCATCGAAAATATCTGGAGATGGGGCTAAGTCTACTTTGCCATTTTTGCCAAGTGCACATGACCAGTTAACCAAAAACATAGGTCTCATCGATATAAAGGTACGCTAGCAGTGCAAATGCGTTGGAACATCTTCCAAGATTAAACAGGGCTCTCTGTACAAATTGATCTTTCCAAAATTTGAGGAGATTCCAGAAGTTGCCCTGAGCATTTGATGGTGTACAGTTTAAGGATTGTGTGACATGTTAGGCATCCAACGTCCTAACTCTACTCTGCTGGCGATTGTCCAGGGCGTTCACTCTAATGTATAGCACAGTTGTGTGAGTTCACAGTTGGTTT